GTTCGGTCCATGCTTGGAAGAGGGAAGTCAGCCCCAAAAAGGATCACTTTGCTTTTAAGACACTTGTATTAGTGTCCTACCATGGCTGTAATAAGTTACCACAAATTTGGTGGCCGGAAGAATACAAACATATCGTCTTGCATTTCTGGAGGTCGGAAGTCTGAAATGGATCTCAAAACCTGGGGCTGGCAGGGCTGCGTGCCTTCTGGAGGCGGTCAGGGGAGAGTCCATTTCCCTAGATGCCGTCTGCGATCCTGGGCTCCTGGTTCTCTCTGCAACACACTGCATCACATCAGAGCGTGTCTGCTCTCACCGCCACCGTCTCAACTCCTTCTCTGACTCTGACTCCTGCCTCCCTCTTGTATGGACTCTTGTGATGACATTGGGTCCACCCAGATAATCCCGGGTAACCTCCCCATCTCAAGGTCCTTACCTTAGTCACATCTGTGAAGTCTCTTTGGCCACAGCAGCTCACAGGGTTACAGGTCCTGGGGATCACAACATGGCCATCTTTGGGGGCTGTTATTCTGTTCGCCTTTTCTGCTTTCAAGAGAACAGGTCAGGAGCCCAGTTTGCCTGGCCTGCTCCAATTTCAGGCAAGACCAGAAGGGCACAAGGTTGTACTTGTATTCCTAAGGGAGCAGGCATCTTGGAAGATGCCTTGAGAGCATGTAGTCTTGGACTTGACCTTCTCTTTTATTTATTTATTTATTTTTCTTTTTTTTTATTATGTTATGTTAATCACCATACATTACATCATTAGTTTTTGATGTAGTGTTCCATGATTCATTGTTTGTGCATAACACCCAGTGCTCCATTCAATACGTGCCCTCCTTAATACCTATTTTTTTAAGTAAACTTTTTTTTAAAGATTTTATTTATTTATTTATTTGACAGAGAGAGACACAGTGAGAGAAGGAACACAAGCAGGGGGAGTGGGAGAAGGAGAAGCAGGCTTCCCGCAGAACAGGGAGCCTGATGTAGGGCTCGATCCCAGGGCCCTGGGATCATGACCTGAGCTGAAGGCAGACGCTTAACGACTGAGCCACCCAGGCGCCCCATTAAGTAAACTTTTTATTTGAGAGTGGGTTTTGATTTACAGTGAAGTTGTGAAGATAGATAGTATAGAAAGTTCCCATATATGTCATAGCCAGTTCCCCCAATTATTAACATCTTAAATTAGTGTGGTACCTTTGTTAAAATCAATGAGCCAATACTGATACATTATTATTAACTAAAGTTCACACTTTATTTAGATTTCCTTAGTTTTTACCCAGTGTCCTTTTTCTGTTCCAGGACCCCATATTTCATTTAATCCTCATGTCTTCTTGGGCTCCTCTAGGTTGTAACATTTTCTCAAACTTCCCTCATTTTTGATGACCTTGACAGTTTTGAGAAGTACTGGGCCAGGTATTTTATAAAATGTCCTTCAGTTGGGATGTGTCTGATGTCTTTCTCATAATTATATTGAGGTTATGCATTTTTTGGAGGAAGACCACCAACATAAAGTACCATTTTCATCACATCGCACTCAGGACATGCCCCATCAGCCTGACCTAACACTGTGGATGTTAACTTGGTCACCTGGTGGAGGCATGTTATGTTTGTCAGGTTTCTCCACTGTGAAATCACTCTTTCTTTTTTCCTTACCATACTTGATAAATATGGGGCTTCCCATGGGCCACAGCTTCATAATTCTGAGACCACCACGCATGTATACTGGGATAGAAGAATTAAGTAAGTGGATGACAGTGGGACTCAGTGTTCCCCCTGTTGGAGGGAAGGCTACAGAGCCGCGGGAAGGTGGCTACAAAACACGTGGCAATGTACTGCAGCTGGAAACATCAGCATGAGCTCACATTTCCTTTAATGTACAGATTGCTTGATATAGCGATACTTAGAGTTGTGTGTAGACAAGGTTTATGGTACATAAATACTTTCTTGCTCTGTCAGCTGAGAGGGCCTCTGAGCAATGATACCCAAGTAGCAATAAGCAGAGCCAGCCCCAGATCTTTGTGTTCTAAAACCATTCTCCAAAAAAAGGAACCAGAACTCCCTGGAGAAATGGCTGATTCCAGGACTGGGGCAGAAAATATACACGGGGAAGTATCTTGTAGGGCCAGAAAGTAAGGGAGTGATTAAAAAAAAAAAAAAATCCCACAGTGATGGGGTAGATCAAACTGACACAGGAGCCAATAGACAGAACTGGAAGAATCGGGCCTTCTCCTTTAACGACCAGTGATAACTACTACCAGGCGCTGAATGGTACTTCGCACCCAGCTAAGGCTACGCAGACATCACATCAACCCTCGCAATATTCTTGTGAATATTTTCCTCAGTTTATGGACAAGGAAGTGGAGACTTGAGGTGGTGAAGTGAACCAAGATCACACATTTGGGAAGTGACCTCTAGGATTCACGACCTTCATACTCACGGCCTGCTCCCACAGCCTCTGGGAAGCCCTGGTCATGAGTGGGTGGCCCACAGAGGCCTCACAGGCCAGGACGCATGCTCCTGGTGTGGTTTCTGGTGCATCTCACCTTCTCCAGGAGATGGTAAGCTTGTCAGGCAAGACAGATGTCTCCCTTTCCCTTGCTCTCTCCCGCCCCAGTGGCCAGCAGAGTGCTGGATACACAGTGGCGAGCAGAGTACTAGATACACAGTCCAATAAGTGCCTGTTACCTGTCTCTAAGGTAAAATCCCACTTCTTTCTCCAGAGAGCACACAGTTCCCTGCAGGATCAGCACATACTAAAGGTATCATAACTCTGCCTTCTGCTTTAGGCTTCTTACAGGCGTGGTGTAAGAAGCCTAAAGCAGGAGGCAGAGTTATGATACCTGTTTCTGTTTTACAAGTCACGTCTCTTAAGACTCTTGGTGCTTCAAGCCAAGATTCCTTTCCCTTTAATTTAGAAGCTTCCAGAATCTATGAGCCCTACGTGTCCCTCAGATGTATCCTCTATCCTGACTTAAAGAGGGAGATCCGAAGCTCAAGCAGTACAGCCCTTTGTGCCCATGCAGAGAAGGGGAGCCGGGGAGGGGAACTGGGCTCCGGCTGCCAGGTATGCCCCACCGTCTGCCACAAAGTCCCCTCAAACAGGCCGTGGTGGCTGGCTGCTAGTCACTGCCATCTGCCCCAAAGCTGAAGGCAGACCTCAGCATAACGGTAAAGCCTCAGCCACCTTCAGACTGAGGAACCAGAAAGCCAGCATTGCCTGGGCCAGACTGTGCTGGGGGCAGACTGAACTGGCTTTTTCCTCAAGGGGTGAAGACCGGGTTTCTCGTGACCCTTGTGGAACTTCTCCACACAAGCAAGGGGGCTCTGTGGGCCCTAATGACCCAGCGAGGGTCATAAGATGCTGAAGGTGCCAGCATCTAAAGTTGTCAAGGCCCCACCGGCAGAGTAGGGGGAAAAGTTGAGAGAGTTGAGAGAAGGACATGCCCCAGAAGACAAAGACCCAACTGCTTGGACAGCGCTGCCTTCCTACCATTGACAGAGCTGGCTCTGGAATGGGGGAGTTTTCCTTTTCCTTATGTGAGGATGTGTCATTTAAGTCTGTCTCCATCTGTATCTCTATAATGGCAGACAACTGGCTGAAAAGTGAAAATGCAAAGTAATGAAATGCCCTCTCTGTCATCCAGACATCAACTGGCGCCCTGTGGTCTCCTAAGATTGAAATAAGATAGGCTTGAACCCTCATTCCATCCTGTGGAAAATCCAACATCTTCCCTCTACACCCCAGGAATGGAGATTCTTGTTTTCATGTTCGTATTTTTCTCTGAGCTAGTACCACTACCGGTAAGAACTCATGTTTAACTTAACATATATGCAAATGTATATATGGAGATAATTATAGATGTATGTATACATGGGTTAATATCCACATCATTATTCCCTAGCTCTGCCTGCTAAGAGGTCCTAGAAACAACAACGAACACCCCAGGAACGATGAGCACACTAGTGGCCCAGATCTTGGTTTCTAAATATCATTGTCCAATAAAAGGCACCAGGACTCCTTGGAGATGTGATGGGTTCTAGGGCAGGGAAAACACAACATGCGCCTGGAGCGTATTGCAGTAGGAGAAAGTAAGGAAGTGCTCCATAAGCAAAAGTATTGTGATGTCAAAGAAAAGAGCACCTAATGGCCAAAGCTGGAATGATTTGACAAGAAACAGATAACATAACATTGGATTAGAACCCAGAGTGTGTATATGTAAGTGATGACTGAATTAGTAAAATAACGGGTGAAGAGAGGTGGCTCCTCCTTATGGAAGATTCTAAACGATGTACGGAGAGACCCCCCCTGCTGCAGGATGTGGGGGGACCTTTAGCCCCCTCCTTTAAGCTCTAAGCCTGGGCTCTAAAAAATATTGTGGGGAAAGTAAAAAATAGTAAGTTAGGGTGGAGAAACCTGGCAGACATCCCCTTAGCCACACGGTGAGGACAAATGTCAGAAGGGGTGGCACACCATCTCATGCAACCTTCTACATAATGTGATGAGCAGGGCACTTGGCCTCTTTAGTATTCTTTGCAAGAACCCATAACCCCAGTCTGATCATGAGAAAAAGATGAGAGAAACCCAAATTGAGAGGCCTTCTACAAAATACCTGACCAGTACTCCTCAAAACTGTCAAGCTCATGGAAAAAAAAAAAACAAAAAAACCCCACAAAAAACAGAAAGGACTTGAGAAACTCTCACAGGCCAGATGAGAGTAAGAACACATGGTAACTAGATGCAGCGTGGTGCCCCGGATGGATCCGGGGACAGAGAGAGGGCATTCGTGGGAAAACGGCTAAAACCCAAATAACTTCTGGAGTTTAGGTGATAGTGACGCACCAAGCCTGGTTCCTTCGCGGACATGAAGGATATGAAGATAGGAACAACAGGGGGGCAGGGGGCAGGATATACAGAAAGAAGCTCTATGTACTTCCCCTGCAACCTTTCTGCAAATTGAAATTTCTTCCAAAGTAAGCGTTTAAAAAAAAACCAACAACGCTAATTGAGCTTTGAAATAATATATCCTGAAGGCACCAAACACGCACATCACACTTGCTCAGGAAACGTCTCGAAGTGCAGCACGAGTATTAAGCTCTCCTTCTGACGTTATTGTCGTCACGCCGAATCTGTGCGAGGCCTGCATTCTCGAACGCTCACTGCCTTTCCTCTCCGCTCAGGCCCGTCTGGCCTGCACCAGGCCCACCGAGGCTGGTCGCAGACCTGCTTTGACAGCCACCTAAACAATTCCTCAACACAGAAGCAAACGGACCCAGCTCTTTGTGTATGGCCGACTTTACTAAAGATGTGGAGAAATGGAGAGTTCTCCCAAGTCTAAGCTCACCTTGAAAAGCAGTGCCTGCAGAACTCCTGCCACTGCCCCCTGTCTTCCCTCCACCCCAGTTCCTGGCCATAGCTCCAGCTGAGGACTCGAACCTGCCCTTTATTTACTGCCCCCGACCCTATGTGAGGGGAGTTTTTCCGCAGCTGGCTTCCCCCCGCCCACAGGGCACAGGCTGGCCTGACACCGGAGTCCCTCCACAGTCAGGGGCCAGCCCTGCACGAACTCGCTGCGGGGCGGGGGCACTGCAGGCCGGGGAGGGCACAGAGCTTCTGCAGGGAGGCGCGTCTCAGGAGCCTGGTGTGTCCCCGAGCTATGACAGCGATCGTAGGCAGGAGTGCAGAGCTTCTGGGCAGCGAGGGACCCTGGAGGTGACGATTCTGCCCCTTGTGTTGCAGATGTGGAAGACGAGGCCCGCAGTGGGAGCACTGTGTCACGGAGGGACTGTCTCAGAGTGAAGTCAGGAGAATCCCAGGCCATCCGGCCGGGAGCACAGCCCAGGCGGAGGTGGGGGCACCCCGAGGCTGTCAGAGCAGAGCGCCCGGTGAGAGTGGCCCGATGGGGTCCTGCTGTGGGGGACCTGGCTGTCTGGGGAGAGTAGCCCCACACCCGTGCATCCTCGGGGGCCAAGGGGTCCGGGCCCAGGGTCCCCATCTCCACATCCCCCCCAGCTCCTCAGACGTGGCTTCTCCTATGGCTTCTCGGGAATTCGCCCCCCGTGACCAACTGCCCGTGTGTATTCCAACCAAGCTTCAGAGCGGTGGCCGTGAGGTTCGGTGAGCCTTCTGAGAATGAGGTGAACGGAATCGTGTCAACTTCTGAAGAAGACAAAACAGAGGAGGGACTGGGAGCTGCTAGTTTGTTCTGTGACTGCTCTTCACTCCTCCGTTCGTGGAGCTGATAAAATCTACCTCTCTAATGTTCTTAAGCTGGAGCCCCTTGGACACGTCAGCTGCTTGCCGTCCTTCTTTATGGGCCACTCATCCTCTGCAGCTCATTAAGCTGAAGAGGCCTGGGAATAAAGTTTGAAACGAAGGTTAATGAAGCTCTTTGTCAAGGAAGGAAGGAGGGAGGGAAGAAAGGAAGGATGGAAGGAAGGAGGGAAGGGAGGGAGGAAGGAAAACAAAAAGAAAGAAGGACAGGAAGAAAGAAAGAGAGAGAGGGAGGGAGTGAGGAGGGAAGGGAGGGAGGGAGGAAGACAAAAAGAAAGAAGGACAGAAAGAAAGACAGGAAGAAAGAAAGGAAAGAAAGAAAGAAAGAGAAAGGAAGAAAGAGGGAGAGAGGGGAGGGAAGGAAGGAAGGAAGGGAGGGAGGGAGGGAGGGAGGGAGGGAGGAAGACAAAAAGAAAGAAGGACAGAAAGAAAGACAGACAAGAAGAAAGAAAAGAAAGAAAGAAAGAAAGAAAGAAAGAAAGAAAGAAAGAAAGAAAGAAAGAAAAGAAAGAAAGAAAAAGGAAGAAAGAAAGAGGGAGGGAGGGAGGAAGGGAGGAAAGAAGGAAGGAAGGAAAGTCAAACCAGAGCTGCGTGAGGCCGTGAGGCCGGCCTCAGCTCTGAGGCCCTGCCCAGGCGGAGGGCAGCTCCTCTCTGGCTAAACGCCACCAGTGAGAGGGGCGCCTGTCCTCTTCTCCGACTGCCTAAAGACGCCCGTCACTTCCCGTCGCCTGGTGGCAGAGCTGCTCAGCCTCTCTGCGGCTGCCGGACATTGTCAGATCGTGTGGGGCTGGGACCGAAAGCAAACATGCGTGCCTCCCTCCCTCCCAAAGCTGGGCAGCTCAGGGCCCTGTGTGGGGGCCCGGGGGGACTTGGTGCCCTGCCAGGGGCCTCGGCCTGCACCTCCAGGGCAGTGTGGTCCCAATTTCCAAAATTAACTCTGCTGTCGTGACATTAACCGCCCTAGTAAACATGCTCATATGTTACTGGGGAGAGAAGGCCATGAAGCCCCCATCAGCCGCAAACTAGGTTAATTTCTGGAACCGAAACAAGCCGGGCGGGGGGGGCAGCTGGGCAAAGCAGGTCCATGCACGCTGGGGCCATTGGGGGCAGCAAGAAAAGGCACTGATAAAAGTACCCAAGGCACTTCTTCAACCCTCCTGGAAGAGGCGGGGGGCCTGCTTTCCCAGCCAGGCTGGAGGACCCCCAGAAGAGCTCAGGTTCGGGGATAAATTCCTTCGGCAGGCTGGGTGGCGCCCTACCCTCTGTGGTTCCCCCACAGCCGCCGGAGTCCCTGGGACCTAATAATACACACAAATCAGAAGACAGGCTGCAGGCCGTGGCCATGCAAGGAGAGGGAGCAAGCTGACGCCTGCCCTAGCCTGTCCCCACTGGCCTCGCCCTCCAGCAGCAGGGTGTCTGGCCCTGGGGCTGGCGGCCCCCGCCCAGTGTGCCAGAAGCACCCTATATTGAGAGGATGAGAGCGCCAGGGGGAATGGCAGGCATGTGGCCCGTGGCAGGCAAGTGGGGTGAGCTGTCAGTGAGCCCGGCCCAGAAAGCCTGTTCTCTCCCCACACCGTCCTTCCTGTCCGCAGGCTCCAGAGCCAGCTCCAGCTCCCAGAGGGTAGCGAGCCCTGCGAAATGGAAAATCCGGCGCATAGAGTGAGCAGAGGCCGCTAGGAAGATGGAATAGTTCAAAACCTGCTTAAGGAAGGCGGTGGGCTTTGTCCTGCACGCTGACTCTGACTGAAGGGATCTAAGAGAGAAATACCCTCTTTATCCACCCTCCGCCCAAAGAGGCCCGTCAGTTCCACGTTTCCAGGGCTGCCCTAGACATCTCCACCAAGCCCACCACCATGCTCCCCCGGCATTCCGTGGCTCGCATTCCGTGGCTCGTGGCTCAAGAGAAGTAACAGGCTAGAGATGCAGGCGTCTTGATGCAGTAACAGCCTGGGACTTTGTGATCAACCCTCAGCCTTGTCTTTCAAACCTGCAGAATGGGAACACTTGTAGCTTTCTTCCTGAGCAGGCTGCTCCTTGGCCACAAAAGAAGATGCCCTGACTCTGGTTCATGAAGGGCAGAGACCCCACCAGCAGACCCTCACTGAGCCAGCCCTGGAGGAAGGAACCATGTGGGCTCTGGGGCCATGTTACTGGGGGGGGGTGTCCCAGCCATGCAAGGCCAGGCTGCCTTTCCCCCTGGGGCCACTAAGAATACACAGGAAAGGGAAAAGATCAGATGCCTGTCAGGAAAGGTGCAGGTGCTTGGGGCAGTGGGGGGGAGGGGGGGCGCTAGTTTGAGCACATGGGCGAGCCAGGCACCCGAGGCATTGTCCAGGAGAATGGGACCCTCGGCTCAGATAGGTAGGGGACAGGGGAGGGCAGGGCAGGAGAGGACAGCACGGACACTGAGCCTGGCTGGCCCCTTGCGCTTTCCCAACATGGTCTGGAAGCTCTTGTCTCTCCCCCAGGGCCTCCCAGAGCCACTCTTGGCTTTAAAGTTTGAGTTTAAAGCTGTGCTTACTTGTGCAACGAGAAAGGGGGAAAAAAACCCAGGCCATTTGTCAGTGTCCCTCTGTTTCCTTCTAGGGTCAGGCAGAGTGTATGAAGGAGAGGACAGCTGCCTGTTCTGGGAGGCCCCAGAAAGGGGAGGTCTGTGCCCGTGGCCAGGCACCTGCTCCTGGAGGCATGGCCCTCAGGGCACTCGGGGCTGTGCTGGGGTCTGGCGCTCAGCCTGTGTGGTCCCAGGCCTCAGTGCACAGACAGGTCCTGGCGCCCTGGGTCACCAGGATCTTGCTCTGAATGTGAGGATTCTTGCCATGGAGAGACCAGAAATGCTCATGCCTCTTCTCCACCAGGCCCAGGAGCTGGCAGCCTGGGGATACACGGGCTCGAGTGTGTTCTGGCTGTCCACCCCTTGCAAAGCATGGCAAGAAGGATGCATGGCTCCCAGCTCACCCAGTTCCTCCCGGCAAGAGTAAACCCTAATTCTCCTCCTCCAAGTACCTGTAAAGCACCAGGATTGACATGATCAGTATTCCCCCCATGATCTCATGCAAACAAGTTAACTTCAGAAGGCAGGGCTCAAATAGCTCAACAACTCTCACCCTGGAGATTATCCAAACGCAAGATAATCCAGGGAGGCTCAAAGCCACATGGCAGCACATCCCTTGCCCTTGACCCCTGCCAGTGGCCTCAGAAAGGCTGTTGTTCGCACCGCAAATCAAAGAAAAGCAGCCCTCATTCTCTAGAAGGCACTGGGGCGCGGAGCTCTTCTCAAGACTGGGCCCACCGGCCTCCCCGTCGGCACAGCGGACAGTGACACTGGGGATCTCTGGTCACTCTGCTGTCATCCTCCAACCCTGCAAGGCTGGGCACACCACCCCCGTTTCACAGATGAGGGGATGGAGCCTCAGAGAAGCGGAATGACTTGCACAGGGTAACCGGCCGTAGATCTGACCTCCAGCCCCGGGCTCCGGCGTTTGTCTGTGACCGGCTGCGATCCGCTGCGGCCCGGCGAGGTCGGCAGCCTGGCCGCCGGCCGCTGAGGAGCCCTGTTCCGCCGGGGCTCACAGTCAAGTGCCTTTCGGCACAGCCTCCCAAGCCCCTCCCGCCGCCGCCGCCACGCCCGCGGCCGAAGCCCAGGCGGCCGCTCGGGGCGCCGGACCCGGGATCATCGGTGCGGCGGCCGCCCGGGGCCTGGCGAGCCTTCCCTCCCGGGGCCGCGGCGGCTCCGAGCGCCTGCTTACTAAAAAGGCGAAGCTCTCCTAGCAAGACAGAGGGCTGGCTTCGTAATTCCTATTGCGACTTCTCCAATATTCCCTCGGTCCTCATCCTCGGCCATCAGACCCCCCCCCCCCCCCGCCACCCATTGGGAGGCCTACTCAGCGAGCCAGATACGAGCAGGCGCTGATACAAAAATAGAGGCAGGCGGCGGGAGCGGGTACCGTGACTCACCGCGGGGCCGGCGGCGGCGGGCCTCCCCCTCCGCCCCTCCTCCTCTGCCCCGGCCCCCATCCGCTCTCCCAACTCCTCTTCCTCCCCTGCCCAGTCCCTGCCTTGCTCCTCCCGCTCCGTCCTCTCTCCTCCCCCGCCTCCCCTCCCCTTCCCGGCGCCCAGAGCGCAGGTCCTCCGAGCAGACACTGGATAAAGCAGGGCTATTTGAGGCAGGCTCCCCCAAGGCTCACTCACCCTTTAAGATTCCCCAGCCTTCGTGCCTGAGATGGGAGGAAACGCCAATAGAGCACAAACTCATTCTCCTGTGGGCTTCCTGGGTTTTCTGCAGAGAATACTCCAGTTCCAGTGATCCTCCCGGCCAGCCCCAAGGTGGGAATAGACTGAGAGGAAGTGGAAAGGCTGCAGCCCAGGCCGCACCCCATCTCAGGGCCCAGGCCGCACCCCATCCTAGAGGTCCAGGCAGCACCCCATCTCAGAGCCCAGCCCCCCATCTCAGGGCCCAGGCCGCACCCCCATCTCAGGGACCAGGCAGCACCCCATCCTAGAGGCCCAGGTCACACTCCATCCTAGAGGCCCAGGCCACACCCCCATCTCAGGGCCCAGGCCTGTTGCCCCCTCCCCACCCCCAGCTCCTTCTCCGGCACTGCCAATCTGCCCGGCATCCCACACCCGCCACAGCTCACTAGCTCCCCTGTCTCAGCAAGCATGCTAATGTGAGTCAGAGGCCTGAGAGTTGTCATGCAGTCTTTCCCCCTGCCCCCTGTGATGCCAGGTTCTCTGTCTCTCTCTCTCTCTGCCTAAAATGGTTCAATAGCTTTCCGTCACTCTTAGATTAAAGAAAAAATATATCCTCTGCCATGGAGGGTCTGCTCAAGCCGGGTGTGGCTCCTTCTGCACCCCCCAGCTGCAGCTACCTGTCCTCCGGGCTGGGGGCCCCCACCTTCAACCCTAGCCCTGTCATGGAGGAGCTGTTCCTTCCCACTTCACCTGCTGAGTTCTAGTGACCCTTCGGAGGCACCTCAACCTGCCCTTGCTCATCAAACCCCTCTGTGGCCCTTGACTTCTCCTATGCTGTCAGCATGAGCCAGATTTACAGAGTTACATTGCTTTGTGCTAACATGTCTCCCCTCGCCCTGATACTGTGAGCCCCCTGAGCGCTGAGACCCTGAGCCTTTGGCTCACCCTTTTATCTCCTAGCACAGTGCCCGGTGCATAGTAAATGCTCAGTAATGTTGGTTGAATGAATCAGCAAATTAACTGCTGACTGGTGGGTGTGCCAATAAGCAAGTAATAGTGGAATTACAGGGTTCTGGATCCTTCTGGAAAATGAGGGGACTAGATTTCGGATGTCTTGACTTCTCAGACTTATGAAAAGGATAGCCCTCACGCCTGTATCCTTGGACAACCAGGAAGTCGGGTGGAGGAAAAGGATACTTCCCTGGCTGTGAACCATGACCCTGTATCCTCCCGTGGCCTCGAGCAAATGTTTGCCTCGCAGTGTCCACATTGCCCTTTGGAAAAAATGCAGCCACTCGGCACAGGACTGGGGTGAGGGTGCGGCAAGGGGGCACCCAGGGGGCAGAGAAAGAAGAGAAAAAGCCCACTGTGAGGACAGCGCCCACCCTCATCCTGGTCCAGGCCAGACTGTGTCTTCCCGGTGAAGTCCCTAAATCTCAGAGGTGCCGAGGCCCTGGCTTTCAGATTCCTGGCCTCCAGTGCCAGTGTGGTGCAAGAAGAAATACAGGGCCCCGTCGGGAGGCAGAGCCGGGCAGGCAGGTTCAGCCTCTGTGTCCCTGGCGGTTTGAGCACACGTCCTGCCTGGGCCTGGCCCTACCCCTGCAGCCCTGCCTTCCACCTGCCTGCTCCGCCCTGCACTCTGGAAGTCTGAAACAGAAAGTAGAGGAAAACCCAAGGGGGGCGGGGTGGGAGGGATGGGGTGGCTGGGTGATGGACACTGGGGAGGGTATGTGCTATGGTGAGCGCTGTGAATTGTCTAAGACTGATGAATCACAGACCTGTACCTCTGAAACAAATAATATATTATATGTTAATTAAAAAAAAGCAGAGAAAAACCCAGGTTCCAGAGAACCTTCCAGAGATAGATGTGGAGGATACGAGGCATCCCTTTTAAGCATTTACTGAAGAAGTTCAAGTACAGTCAAGCAATTCCTTCTCGGCGCCTACAGTGGAAGAGATACTGGGCAACTACGTGTTGTGGAATGGACAGGAGGGGAGGGCTGGAGGGAGGGGAGAACTCGGAGCACTCTGGCTTAGGAAGGGCCAAGCGTGAACCGTGAACCAGAGCCTTGGTGGAATTTGCAGGGAACCTGGGCGTGGAGACGCTCTTCAGCGGCACTGCGTGTCCCCGTTCTGCTCGCTCACCAGCTTGTCCTGCTCCTGACGCTGTCAGAGGAATGAGGGGCCAGCAGCCACGGCGGCTCTCCCTGCTCCTGCTAGAGACGGAGCCAGGACCAGAAGGCAGTCTCTGGAACCCCGGAGACTCTTCCCTCACTGCTGTCTGCCCAGCTCCCCCAGGACTGCTCTGGAGCTCAGGGCAGAGGAATGAGAGGAGCAAGTTGTCCTCTTTTCAGCTGCTGCCCCCTGGGGACCATGCAGGACACAGTGGTCCTCTGATGCCCTGCCCAGCCCAAACCCCCAGGCTCCTCCGTCTGTCTCAGGAGCCCAGCCTCTGGCCACCAGGCGGCTTGTGAGTGGCTCTGCCCAAACCCGTCCCCGCTGCTTGGAAATACCATCCAGCCCCCCCTCCTCCCCTTGGACTACTGAGGCCTCCTCTCTTCTGGATTTTTTTTCTCCCATTTTTCACTTGACTATTTTTAATATTAACATAATACATGTTTCTTGAAGAAAAATAAAGTTGGAAGAAATATTGAGGTATAAAAAAGGCAGAAAAAAATCACCCATCCACTCACTTGCAGAAGTTGTAGGGTGACTTATCACTTTGACACAGTTCCTTTGTCTCTTTTGCCCTTCATTTTTTTTTTTTTCATGGTTCAACTGATCCCTGTTGACACATGGCACATTAGCATTGGGCTGCCAGGGCTCCAGGCACCTCCCAGCTGGTACCCTGTCAGCCTGGGGAATATTTCAGACCCAGAGCATTTTTAGACCCAGAGGAAAAAAAAAAAGCTTTAAAATAAGGCAGCAGAATTGGGGGCAAAATTCCTGAAGACTACATAGGAGATTTGTGCTGTTCTTCAGAGTGGCTCAAGCCAAGCCTGAGAAGTAAGAGATGTGGAATTCTATTTTTAGAGAATATGGCACGCTAAATTCTCAGAATCAACACTCCTGTTGAAAACAACTTTTAAGAAGCCAGAAAAAGTATTTTAAAAATCTTACAGGCACTGAAGAGTTGACAAGATACTAAAGCACTACTAGGGCCCAAATCTAAGGGAAGCCAGAAGTGCAGTAATTCTAGGAACAGCTCTTGCCCTGAGAGTGTTTGCTTATCTAGATTTCCTTACACTTGGGGGTAAACAACTTTGTAAAGCTTGGGGCCTTCCTACCTGAAGCTGAAGGCCTAGCCCACAGGGGAAGAGGGAAGGAGTGAACCAGAAGTAAACCCCACCCCACACTGACACGCAAGCGTCTGAAAGGTCAGTTGCCTGGACCCAGAGCACATGGTGGCGGTGTTGGTGTGGGGGGGAGATGTCCGAGAAACTGTGACCACAGCTGGGTCCTCACAGGTACCTGCAGTCCCGATTTGTATCACCTGGGAGGACCCAGAGACCTCAGGCTGTGAAGTTTATCATCGTTTCAGATTAGTTGTATCCTAGGAGATCCCTGGCACAAGCAAATACAAATCCTTTCTGGAGACAGGCACTTGTATTCTAGGTTTCCAAGTGTTCTACAAGTGATTCTTCAAGGACGGTGAACATGACGCTGTCAACAAGGAAACACATGGAAACAAGGTGGTATGAACAAGAACCCAAACAACAGGTAACACAAACTCGAAGACTCCAGTTACTGGGATTGTTAGGTCCACATTGTTAAAAAAAAACAAAAACAAAAAACCTTTGGATGCAGGGGTATCTGGGTGGCTCAGTCAGTTAAGCGTCTGCCTTCGGCTCAGGTCATGATCTCAGGGTCCTGGGATTGAGTCCTGCATCAGGCTCCCTGCTCAGCGGGGAGCCTGCTTCTCCCTCTCTCTCTGCCCCTCCCCCCTGCTTGTTCTCCCTCTCTCTCTCATTCTCTCTCAAAAAAATAAATAAAATCTTAAAAAAAAAAAAACCACCTTTGGATGCTTTATTAAGGAAGTAAGAGAAAAGCTAACAAATATCCATTGGGAACAGAAAGTATAAAAACATGACCTCGTTGATTTGGAAAAAAACAAAACGGAATATCTAAAAATTTCTATAAGGGAAAAAATTAATAACAGAAACTTAAAAGTCCACAAAAGAGCTTAATGATAGATTAAGTAAAGGAAGAATTAGTAGATTGGATGATCAATTAGAGGAATTGCCCACAATGCAATTCCTAAAATGAAAAGTAATGAAAAAATTTTAATGTAGAGCATATCTGATATTCTGGGGCATCTGACTGGCTCAGTCAGTAGAGCATGTGACTCTTTTTTTTTTTTTCTTAGGATGCATTTATTTATTTCAGAGAGAGAGAGAATGAGCACAGAGAAGAGGGGCAGAGAGAGTTTCAAGCAGACTTCACACTGCATGGAGCCTGACACAGGACTTGATCTCATGACCCTGAGATCTCAATCCTGACATCACAACCCTGAGATCACCACCTGAACCAAAATCAAGAGTCAGTCACT